AAAAATTATACAAGGCGTAGAGTTAATGTCTACGGAAAAAACGATCTATGGCAGGCCGACTTGGTCGAAATGATACCGTATTCTAAAAAAAACAAGGGCTACAAATATATTCTATGTGTTATTGATTGTTTTACAAAGTTTGCTTGGGCGATACCGTTAAAGTCTAAAACTGCTAAAGAAGTTTCCAGCTCAATGTCTAAAATACTGCATAAACGCACACCAAAGCTATTACAGCTCGATAATGGAAAAGAATTTTACAATTCTACATTTGACGCGTTGATGAAGAAGCACAACATACATAAATATTCGACTTATAGTACTATGAAAGCGTGTATTGTGGAACGTTTCAACCGCACATTGAAAGAAAAAATGTTTAGAGAGTTTACGGCACGAGGTTCGCATGAATGGATTTCTATTTTACCTTCATTGATTAACGAATATAATAATTCAAAACATAGGACAATAGGAATGACACCAGTGCAAGCTGATGCTAATCCTACGTCAGTGGAAATAAAGCAACGAAAAATTATTGACGGAAAAATTAAATTTGACATAGGCGATAACGTCCGTATTAGCACATATAAAGGTGTATTTGCAAAAGGTTATTTACCGAGCTGGTCTACAGAAATATTTAAAATTGTTAAAATTAATGAAACATTACCCACTACTTATCAGCTACAAGATTATACTGGAAAACCGATTGCTGGTTGCTTTTATTCTGAAGAAATATTGAAAACGAATTATCCAAATGATTATTTAGTCGAGAAAATTATACGTAAGAAGGGGAATCAAATTTTTGTGAAATGGCTCGGGTTCGATAATACACACAATAGTTGGATAAATACAAGTGACATTAGAAAATAGTGTCAGTCGAGCTATGGACATGAACGTGTTTGGTAGTTCTCAGTCTAGTGAAACAAAAAAAATTATTTCAAATCTCGAACAGTCGAACAAATCGTTTTCGTCTAAATTAGATAAAATCGAACATTTACTTGAAGAAAATCATAAATCCGTACAAATTCAAGAAGAACAAGTAGAAACGATACAATTAACGTGTGTACAGATAGCTGAGCATATGACAAGAGGCGAAGTATCATTACAATCAATCAAAGAAAGTACAGAAGGGTTGAAAAACCTAATACCAGCTATACTCAGTCGACTAAATACTATTGAAACTTATTATAAAGACAAACCATAATGTCTTCAGCCATCTTGGACATGCAATGTGTACTCGGTGTCAACAATAAATACATGATTAAAGAAATGTCTATAGTAGACACAGAAACATGGGCGACCCAACACTGGATTTTTAAACATTCAAAATCCATGGAGGATAACAAAAGTCGTAAAACCAACAAGTGGCTGGAGCGTAATTACCATCAACTACCCATAGAATATGGCGATATCGAGTATGAAGAACTAAGTAGAATATTGAATTCATTAAAGTTCAGTTGCATATACGTCAAAGGTGAACAGAAAAAACAAGTTCTTATGGAGTATATACCACACGTCGCACTCATCAACATTGAAGACTTGGGCTGCCCTCGTTTGGATCAAATATGTGATGACAAAACTTTACCTTGTTGTATTTTTCATATGGAATTTAATCCAAAACAATGTACATTTTATAAAATATTTGCTATAAGAAAATGGTTTATAAATAATTCTTAATTGTGCTTACGCAAATAAATTTAATAAACATAATAATATTTTAACAAAGAGTTTTCTTTATACATGCTAACATTTACAAGGTAAACATTTTAATACAAAGTATATACAAATATCTGGTATAAAATTTAAACTATTTATGTCAAAGTATTTACAAATTAAAATATATACAATTATATGTCATGAAATTGTTTTCATTTTACACTATTTATGTACAGAGTATTTTAAAAATTTTACACAAGGTCTAAAATTCGTTTTCGACCATAATTTCAGCCAACTCTGCGTCCCTGTAAAATTTATATATAATATAATTTTGATAATTTAAAAACAATTTAAAAAACTTACTCTATTCTAAAATGACCGTGAGCTAGGGTATGGAATTTATCTTCTAATATCACCCTCTTATCATCATAATTGTTGTATATTATTTTATTGGTCTGGACAGTCGTCAATTGATGTTTGAATGAACGTATACATATATTCAGCTGTCTATTATTGACACCCGGCTCCATACCTTCAAACAAACATGCCCGATGACCCTCAAATGTCATATGGTTCTTAACCACATGACCCCTTACGCCTTTTGCACGGATCTGCTCCTTCACATTCATATCATCCAATCCTTGGATTTTATAAGCGTAGGATTTAGCACGGAGCGCGCAAAACTCCGTCATAATATGGCCGTCAGTCTCATCTGAAAATAGACCCGGGATCTTTTTCCTCTCAGCAATATAACACGGATGGTTTCGTGGTAAATTAGAAGTATCCATACGGTCGAGTAGATTGGCGTTCCTTGCAAGATCTTCGTAAAAGTCATCAGTGTGGATATAATATACCAGTGAATCTATAATAACAATTATTTAATTATGTATGAAACAAATATATATTAATTTATTAATTTACCGGTGTCAGTGTACATCAGCTCGATTTGATCACCATAATGCCTCTTCATCACGTTGTAGTGATAGTCGTACATTTTTGTCTTTGATATATCCAACACAGCTAAGCCTGTGGGAAGAATTATTAAATATCTATAAGAATGTAATATACATGCTATGATACATACCAATATAAATAGGTTTGTCGAATTTTATAATTTTTTTCTCCATTGTTACAGCACTCAGGTTTTCGTTGTATGGTGTCGCATATTTAAATGTGGTCAAGTTGATAAGTTTCTGCACTCTATCTTCGTTTGAAACAAGCTCCATTAGTATCTTTCGTCTAACTTGTTCCATAGTCTTACCTATCGATTTTAAAAAGGATTAGTATAAAATTGAATAAACACAAAAATTATAAAAAATACCAAAAATACTATTATTCATAAGCTTGAAGAAGTCTTTCTCAAAATCGTTCAAAGCTTTTTTTCTCATTTCGTTGTTTAAATTTATAAATTCGGCAAGCCAAGGTGATTGGTTGAATTGTAGGACCCTATGCACCTAGAATAAAATTAATCATGTCAAAAATAAATAAATAAATTTACATTTTATTTTAAATAAATTTACTTTTTCAACTATCAACCCGTTTTTAATGGCTTGCTGGAGATTACGGTAATGTACGACATAATTTTTTTTTGACTCGAAGGTCACCATCAGTTTTTTTACCTTCGAGCCATCGGGTATTCCGTTTTGAGGCAGAAATGGTAGATCATTATGCTGGTCATGCAGTTCTGCCGGATACGTTACATCAACCTCATACATCCGTCCGATCGGCGAGTTGTCGTCCAAGTCGTTAAGACCATCGAGCTTGGCTTCAACCCACTTAAAGCCTCCAGAGGGCATACATTCTGCCATAGCCCAGCCATAAAGATTATTACAGTCTTGATAGACAAGCCATGATTTCGGTTTAGTTTCGTTATAATCAGGCACCTTATGGTTATTAGCCTTAGCATACCGCATGCTAGCCTGCACCAATCCACCGCGTATACCTGTAATATAATTATTTCTATAACATTTAAAAAATTAATTTTTCATCAATTACAAACCTTTTTCTATACATAGTAGCATGTCATAATCGGTCAACAGTTCCAATTTCACCGATGTATATTTCAACATCGAATCGAAGCTGAATCCTGGGGCCGTATAATAAAATGCCGGATCTAAATTGTACGTTTTCATGCATAGATCGCGGAAATTTTCAAAAACATCCGCGAGCAACAAAACGTCAATTTTGAGATACAAATCGCTGTATTCGCCCAGCGTTCTGCATTCAAAGTACCTCCATACCTCCATAGCATGTTCGTAGTGTACATCCTTAATACCCTCCTCCTTGAGCGTACTATAAAATTCTTCTTTTGGTGGTAGACTCGGCTCGTCCAACTTATCCCAGCCATCCGTATACTCGTATGGATATACACCCTTACGGGTGACTAGTGGCATATCCCGGGCATCAAAAAATTTTGCTGTCTCGCGGAATTTCGAAAAATCTCGAGTTAAAAGGTTTTTGGATAGAGTATCCAACTTTGATGCCATAAACCTGCACGTGTCTACGAATCGTATAGTAAACGTCCTACTAATATATTTTGAAAATGAAATAAATTTTTCTTCGCTATTAGCAATAACTTTTATACTATTAGCGTCATAGCCTAATTCAGTTACAATAAAGTGGGCGTCATAATTAGATAAATTGTGGAAAAAACAGGGGACAAATTTCGGTTGTTTTAATTTTAAATTACATCGAGAGCATAAAGATTGTCTAAATCTACCAGTAAGGTGACAATGGTCACGGACTTTCTCGTTTGTGTCGAAACTGCGTTTACAAAAGTTACAATTTTTATTTTCATTGTGTTTTCGCGTATCTCGGTCATTCATAACTATAGGGACATTCGTCTTTAGCAATTCTTCAATTTTACGACCTACATCAACTATATTTTCGAGAAAATGCCTGGCAACATCCTCCCGACTATCACTACCGCGATAAACAACTGGTGCAGTTGGTATATTGAATTGCTGGATAAGCTCTAGTGGAACTTCTTCGGACGCTTTAACTAAAAACCCATAACTCATAGGTTTGTGGTTATGTATTACAGTCGTGTGTTCCCCCCTTTTCTCATTAGTTTTCACCAGTAGAGCTTCAAAATCCGCGTAAATAGTGAATGGGTGTCGTTGAGCATGTCGCCAATTATCGAATTCTAGCAATGTGTCAACATCGGGCATTATGGGTAGAATAGGTTTATGAGATCCGCAAATTAATTTATGCTGCTGAAGTGCTAGCTGCCCACTTAATTTATATTTTAAATTTTGTTTGTCAAACGATGTGAAACATCGTTTGCAGAAATAAACTGAATGACCGTGTAATGTTATTTGCGAGCGGATTAAGCGTGAAAAATTAGAAATATATACGTAGTGACTTTTTTCTCCGGCAGTGAATAAAATGATGTCGAAATGCTCGGCTTTTTCATTATCTACTACTTTTAATGGAAATATGTGATGATTCGGATTTTTTGACGAAGACTGAGATATTTTTTTAACTCCGTAAATATTTACAGAGACTGTCGGGTTATTTTTTTCAAAAATTTTAACCTCACTCCACGGTGTTGGGAATGATAAGCCTGTAAAATTATATTTGTCTTCATGTCGGAAATAATTTTCGCCTACACGATGTTTATTTGCACCTGTCACGTGCCTCGCCAGAATGGACCATTTAAAACAATGCTGATCATTATTTTGCGGATTGATCGTCGCCCGTTTATTTTTGATTGAAAAAGGGAGCTGAATATAAGATGAGCCAGCTACAGGGTTAAAAGTATCATCACGATTCTCGTTTTCATTTTGTCGGTTATTATTCGGCGTGTTTAACGTAATATTATTTCGAATATCTGGGTTATTATCAGTATTATGATCATTTACGTCATCGCGTTCGTTATCAAAATTGATAACGGGCAGGCCAATGTTAGGGGTTCCCCCCATAGGCGTATATTTGTATACTGTTAATAAAAGCCCGTCAATGGATTCTAATACATATCTACTACCCTTTGCAACATAAATTTCCTCCTCGTGCAATAACGTAGTGAACGCCTGCTCTATTAATGAAACTATATCAGAATCGATAAAAATTTCTTGGGCCGATGTCTTGAATGACCTATTTTGCGATGAGTTATCTACACGCGTTTGGTTATAAGTGGCTTCAAGTTTTAAATTAAATTTTATCGGATTCACAACTACAATTCTCCTTAATAATCGGACAAGCCCAGGTTTTAAATTATCGAGAAATGAAATATAATTTTCATAATTATTCAGATTTTTAGCATAATACCATACGATTTTTCGACTATGTGCGGATTTAACCTCAGCGAAACCCGGTGTATTAACCATATCCATACGAGCTTTTTTAGATTTAATACGGGATACTGTATTTTCTACGTGTACGCGCTTTCTTCCTACCGTAGTCATATAAGAATCTACTTATAAAAATAAATATAGATAAGTATAATTCTAGCACCGATAATAATAATAATAATAATAAAAAAAAAAATCTTACTTGTCATATCGCATAGCCCAGCATCTTGAACATTTTCTAGAACTTCGCAGCACATTTCATCGTACCCATCGTTAAAATCCTCGCCCGGAAAATTATTCACATACTGCCGAGAGGGCCCTGCTGGTATGTCAGGTACAAATATTCCAGGAGCTATTTCTTTTTCGCCAGGTGCCCGGACGCGGACATTGTCTTTAATAAAAACGTAAATTAAATCTAGCACCGATAATAATAATAATAATAATAATAAAAAAAAAATCTTACTTGTCATATCGCATAGCCCAGCATCTTGAACATTTTCTAGAACTTCACAGCACATTTCATCGTACCCATCGTTAAAATCTTCGTTCGGAATATTATTTACATTTCGAGTCTGATTTGAGGGGGGCCGCTGGCTGATCTGATTGTGGTCGTACGTGTGCAAGTGTGCATTATTGCAACAGCAAAAATAAATAAATAAATAAATAAAAAAAATCATAAAATTAATAAAATAAATAATATATTATGCCTACCATGGACGGTTTTCATATGTCTCTTCAGATGAGACTTACTTGAACGTCGATGTACAAATAGTGCACGAAGCAAACGCCTTCGTGCGTGTTTCTCGTCCTAATCAAATCTGTCCATACGCGTAAACGCAGATACACATTTACACATTGCAGTATGAAAGTATAGTAAAATTCACTAATAAAATGTAAAGACGTATCGGAACGAAAATAAGTGCGCGATGGTTTAAGACTGACGACGTACTATAAGACTGTTGTTCTTTCAGAATATATAAAGATAAATTTAAGTAGGTGGAGAAATATTTTGTGGGTAGGCAGTGTGTGAATATTGATATTTAAGTAGTATTACATTGTATGAAGATACGTCCGCAAAGGTACTAATATCGACTATCTAATGTTGTTCTACTAATACCATTCTAATATCGTATAAGAAGGGTATGCGACAGCGCCAAATACCCACCCAATGGCAGGAAATGTATCTTATTGTCACCGACGTTAGAGTGCTTATCCCTAATGTCGAGACCGCGACGGTGATCTCAGGACAATAGATGCTTTTGCCATATATTTAATTGAATATGAATATTGATACCTACAATACATGGTATTTTAATATCGCAAGTAAATATCTGCGACATCCTCTGACGACCGGTAGGGCACATTATGAAGACATTTAGTTGTGATTATTACTGCATTGGAAATGTCTTTCAGTAAATCCTAATGTCAGAAACTATGGGCCATTGTGGTCAAGATTTCCCATTATGACGCATTCATCGATATTATTTGTGATACGTTCATTATTGAGTATTGTGTCAAACCTATTAAGCATCGGGATAGAAATTATATTTTACTAATGAATTTTATACTTAATCACATTTTTGTAGTTATTTTCACGTATGGATATAATGTATAACATAATCATGTTAATATCATTTTAATAATATATATCTAATTTACAATTTCACTATTTTTGAATATTATCCCAAATAGAGAGAACTACGTTGTTTGAATATTTTAATTTGATTATGCGCGCGAAAATATAGCTGATACCATTTTATTTGATAGACAGTACGGTAAAAATATTTGTGATAACTGATAATGGTGATAAACGTTTTGGCTGAAAATGATCGCTGATAACAAATGATAACTGTTGACATCTGGCCTTAAATTGTCTCGAGTTGCATGAGTGGACCTGACAAGTCTGGGCGATGATTGAGATAACTGGTTAAATAGATAAGAATAACTATCTCAAAGTATATATGGCGGGGCGGCAGATCATATCTCACGGGAAGCGGTAAGTCCGGGTTCGATACCCGTCACTATTTTGCAATTTTCACTATTTGTTGATTAACGTTCGATAACAAATGATTATATGATAACTGATAACAAATGATAGCAGTGATATTGATAAGTATATGCCGCGCACATGCGCGATCGGGCGGCGGCAGCGGCAGCGGCTTTAGGTGAGGTGAGGAGGTGGGGGTACGTCACATACGTAGCGGCAGCGGCGGCGGCTATGGGTGAGGTGAGGGTGAGGTGAGAATGGTGAGGGTGAGGTTTTGAATCGGCTATTTAATCCCTACTGCCGGTGTTTTTACCAATCGTTTTATGTTATCTGACGCTTTATATGTTAAAGTGTTTATATGTTTGGTAAAATAAAAAATAAAATAAATTGAATAAGAACGTATTGATATCCGAACTGTATTGAGATTCAGACCAATGATATTATTTTATTTGAATCATATAGAATTTTAAAAATTAATGATATTTTTACTATACCTCTGAGCGCTATTGTGATCATATTTTTGTGAAATAACAACATATGATTATAGACTTTTAGCGACGGATCTTCACGGTCATTATAATTTATATCATAAAGAATTTTTATTATACAATAGAATTATACTTTATCATACTATAGAAAAATTTGCATGGGTTATGATATAAATTACATAAATATAATTATATTTTATTTTATTAAACACTTAATTTTTCTGGACTCAAAGAAAATAGATAATAGATAATAGATATGTAATTAATTTATTACATGATATGCATGGTTACTACAGGGACAAAATTCATCACTGCGTCAAATAATAGTCGATAATCTTTAACGGTTAAATAGAAACTAATAATTATGACGTTAAATTCGCAAAAACCTAGCTATTATTATATGACATTTAAAATATAGGTTGCCGTTTGAAAATCAAAAGTTGATGGTTTTACTATTAAATATAAGCAAAAATAAGATTTTATATAATTCTAGAAAGAATAAACTAAATATTAAAAACAATTGAAAAATTCAACATTTTCAGTGCAAAAATCCTCTGTATATATTATAATATTATTTATATTAAATTAATTTTTCACCTATTAATTACTAATTAGTATGTATATGTCGTACCACTCGTGGCTATATGGATAATTAATTTTGAAAGACTAGGCTCTTTGCAATGGGGTTATTTAATTAGCTTTATTTTAATACTAATCATATGTTAAATGTAAACTGAACTATTGTGCCTTATTATAGGTAGGTATTATTTTCTTTTGTTTATACTTTGCCAATATTATATTTTGAGTGTCTTATAGTTCACGATCTACTTGGAATATTATTTACTAAAATATAACACAGCTTCAATTATAATATTTCTTATCGCTATTTCTGTATAAATTTTCTACCATCAATATTCCAAAATTCGATCATGGACTATTGAACACTCAAATTAATATTAGTGAGATATAAAAAGTTATGTACTTACAATACAATAATATAATAGTTCAGTTTACATTTTACACATGGTTAGTATTATAAAATAAAGCTAGTAATACAATAATAGTCAAATGGTCATTACCATAAAATTATTGTAATTTTTAAAAGGTATAAATGTTGTCAGTCTCAAAACTAAATAAAAAATTAATTATTCATATGGCCTACGACAGAAATATATATTTATAAATTATAACTACAGCTAGCTTTATCTAAAATAAAATATTATACAAATATAAAATAAAAACTGATATCGAAATACCACGATTTTTTATAAATACTTTTCTAGAAAAATAACTACTTGAATACTTGATTATTGTATTTAAGTACCACTTACTTATTATTGGAAACTCCGACTTATATTTAAATATAATTCAACAGAAACGTTTTACAAGTGCATTTTTTTTATTCAAGGAATATTTTTAAAGATATTTTTTTATTATTCCTTTTTATATATATGATTTTATAAAATACTTATGCAAATTAAAATTTTGTGTAAGAAAATAAAATTTAAGTGCATATTTTTATTTTTTTAAGCGCATAAATGCATGCACTAGTGTTTTTTAAGTACATTAAGTTCCGAGTCCTACCAATTATAATGATGATATTGAATCAGTAAATTTCAGTTTTGTGAATATCAACCGTTTTTTCTCTCAATGTACCTACCATTCTTCGCATTGATTTTGCCTCTTAGTTCTAATTTCTAATGATTTTACTTGATACTCAGATAGTGATTAGTTTTCTAAGTATTTACGTTTGTAGTTTTCAATTTCACATTCAGTAAATTCTATAAATGGGTCATGTGACACATTCCCATAATTTTCATCTGGTCCTAGATTAGTCTTAGACACTACAAATCGTTTAGATGTTTTAAAAAAACTACTACGTCTATTTTTTTTGTGTCAATTGTTCCTATCTTTCTTTCAATATAATTTTTAGAACTTAGTAAACTCAGGCACTGACAAGTTACCAGAATTGAGAGTACTGTTAATATTATATTTTAAAATGGTTTAAAATTATTAACTAATAGAGATAAAGTATGATTGAGTAATAAATAATTTCTTATAAAATATCCAAACCAAGCATGAATCAAGATATAAATATACTATATTATGCATGTATACAAATAGCAAATGAAAAGTAAATTTGACTGTAAAATAAAAAAAAATTATAGTTTAGTCTATTGTACTTTTTGTTTTTTGTTATATAATATGTTGTAGACCAGTGGTTCTTAACCGGTGTTCCGAGGATTTGGTATAAGTGTTCCGCCAAAATTTTAAAATCAGTGAAAAAAAATTCTTTCAAAATAGAATCATTTTAGATTTTATTGGTTTATTTTTGTACACAAAAACGTCATCGTAAACTTTTGAATTATATAATGTGTCAGTATACTATATAATATCTGTAAAAATCATCAGTCACAAATATCTCATACAAAGTATTCAATTTCTAATTTTTAAATTTTTTTAAACTCTTTTTATAATTTTATTATTTTTTAGTGACTAACACTAACATGTATGGCATGCAAACAATTGTATGCTATACATTCATTGTTTAATATATTAAAAAATTAAAAATGTATGTACTACTATTTTATTTTATGGTTGTGTTCCGCGAAAATCTTATAAAATGATAAGTGTTCCGTTATTCGAAAAAGGTTAAGTACTACTGTTGTAGATAAATGAACTATATTGAATGTCCCAAACTCCCAAGAGGAGGGGAGGGTGGTAAGACGGGGCACTTTCCCTCCTAGGATTTTAAATTTGTTACCTAATTATTGTAATTCTGTATTGTAATGATGACAAAACATAATAATGTATACTATAAATAAAATGTATAAAAATACTTCATTTATTTTTTAAATTAATTTTGCCCCTTCCCTAGGAAAATGTCTGGTGACCTCTGTATTGTATTACACACAGCAGTATAATATTTAATTATATCACATACATTAAAAAATAATATACTGTAACGACAACTATTTGTGTAATTGATCGTCATTGTTATAAAATAAAAAAATGTGTCGTCTTTCAGATATATTTTCTTTCACCCTTCACTTCTATTTGTTTGAAATCTTGTTTG